TACAAGCGCAGGCGCCCTGCAGGTGAAGCTACAATGCGCGATGTCCCGCCAAAGATGGAGCACCTTCCAGTCAGGTTTGTGCAGGTTCTCAACTCTCTCCGGGAGAAGGTGAACAAGCCTGCACCGAGTGTCTCGACCCCAGAAAGCTTTACAGCGGAGGAGTTGAGGGATCGCCCGACTGATGCTGGTGTCGCCGAAGATGATGATGAGGAAGGCGACCCATGGGACGCTCTGGATCCCGATGAGCACGAGGGCCCATCTTTTGGCAAAGCCAAGGCGAGCCACGCAGCTCCGCCTGACCCCAAGGCGAAGCCTCAGACGACGCAGGAGGATTCAACTCAGGCCACCTCAGCTGGTGAGCCCCTGCAAGAAAACGAGATCAAGGGTACCATCATCCCGAAACACGCACTTGGACACCTTGACAAATATCGTATCACTTTGGACGAAAATATAAATGCAGAAGTAGTTGAACATTGCGTCGTTGATGCCCATCCCTACGAATTGATCGTCAAAACCTGTTGGGAGATGGATGGGGCAAAGGAGCTGAGGTACCCAGAACGCATGGACCGACACAAGACCAAGGTCAATGCAGTGACGCGTGGACAGCCGGGTCAGGACACCTCTGGATTTGATGAAAACATGTGGCTTGACCTTGATGACTTCTTTCGAATGTTCAACCAAATGCTGCCAGCCAAGTTGCCCCGAATGACAGTTGAAGAGCTCATTTCATTGCTCTACTGGGACAACAAGTGCCGTTTTGAGTTCCAGTGCATTGCCGGGTACCAGAAGGCAACCCGTAAAGGGTTAGCCTACTGGCCCATCAGGATCCGTGCAGTGCAGGGGCATACGAAACGTGCCATGGAGGCCGCTTCAGCTGAGGACACGTTCAATGCAGTGGAAATCTATGCTCTGTCTGGAGCAGCAGCGATCCAGAAGATGAACGCCAAAGGTAAAAAGATTACCACTCCTCAGATGTGCCCTGGCGTAGTTTATCACAGGACTACAAAAGGCAATTGGAAGGGCATCATTGAGAATGGTTTCGTGGCTGGAGGAGGAGAACGAAATTCGTCAGGAAGAGCTCACTCCTATTTTAGCGACGTTCGTGTTGATGAGAAAGAGTATGTGAGCGGTTTGCGTGCTGAGCGACCCATGGAAATCAGGGTTGCAATGGCAGAAGCTGTCAAGGCTGGAATTGTGTTTTTCAGAACAGCTTCCGACGGCATTCTCACAAGCGATGTCGTCCCGCCACAATACATCATCTCTGTGGATGACACGGCCAAGAAGGTGAATCTTTATCGTCGCCAGCAGGAGATTGCACAGTCTGCAGCGAGCAGTGGGGGAGAAGTTGGAGTCCAACAGCTTGTCGAGACCTTTGAGGCCAAGGCATCAAAAGGGACGGGTTCCAAATCTCCGGCCGCCTCAACTGGCGCGCCCGCTGCAAAGACATTTTTCCCAGGAAAGGTGAAGCCTCCGCCACCAAATGTGGCCCAACTTGCCGGTATGCCTGGATATGCAAGCAGCAGACTGTTGCCCCCTCCTCCAAAGGGTGAAGCTCCGAAACCTCCTGCAGCAAAGGTTGAAGGACCAAAGACACCGCCAAAGACACCTCCAAAATCATCACCGAAGGAAGGGACTTCTGCACCTCATGCACCAGAAGTTCCAAAAGCTGTGACCTCAGAAGTTGATGCAGCGGCAAAGGATGAACCTGCAAAGAAGAAGGCAGCCCTGACAAGCGTGCCCGCAGCTGTGCCTGCGGCATCATCGGCTGCGGCCTTCTTGGAGCCTGTTCCAAAAGTTGCACCACCAAAGGCAGTGCAGAAAGACCCAAAAGCTCCAGTTGCAGAGTCACCCAAAAAGACGCCAGCAGCAACATCAAAGTCACTGGTGCCAAAGCAGAAGTCTCGCCCTAAAGGCGATGACCAACCTTCGAAGAAAGAGGTGAAGAAGGAGGACAAGAAGCCGGTGCCGGTCAAGATCGAAGTCACGCAATGCTCAAGATGTTTTGCACAGACTTTCAAGGGACAGATTGAATGCGATGTGTGTGGATTGATGCTCGAAGGGATCAACAAGGCCGACCGAACCAAGATTGCAGAACGAAGGAAGGCCGCCCTTCACAAGCTGGGCTTGTACTATGATTTTCGTGGTGAGTACCTGCAGAGCATCACACACGATCAGCTTGAATCTTTGGGTTTGTTGGACGACCAGGCAAGGGGAAGCTCAAGTCCGGAAGCCAATTTGTTGGCAAGGGCGAAGAGTCGTTTCGACCGTGCCTTGAGCTTAGGCTATGTGTCTGTGGCTGACAGGTTTGCCCAAGACGCCACATTCGCAGAGAGCGTGTTGAACGAGGGGGAGAACGAGTACGATTGTGAAAGGTACGACCTCCTCAAGTCTGCACATTTGCCAAAGCCGGGTCGCACCAAAGCTCAGGTCAAGATGGGTATTTCTGAGCAATCTCAGCTTGAGCACAACGCGATGAGGCTGGTTTACTTGGATTTGGCAAGCCGTCTTGATGTCCCGAAATCATTCAGGTACATTGACCAGCCATGGTTCTACATGTACCGAACCGAGATCTACTCCGAAGAAGAGTACATTGACTACCTCAGCAGGAATCCTGGACACAATCTTTTGTTGTCTTGCACAGGAGTTGACAACATTGCTGTTCATGATGCTGAACGTCATTTGAGGTGGATTAAGGGACAAAATGAAGAGCTGTACAAGCAGAACGCAGCAGAGAAGAAGAAACAGTCTGACAGGGCCCGCGAACAAAACGAGGCCAAGCGCAAAGCTGAGCAGACTGGTGCGTATGGCCAAGGTCCCTCCAAGAAAGGCACCGCCAAACCGGTTGCCCGACCATCCACAAGCGTAGAGGTAGCTTCATCATCAACGTCTGCAAGTCAGTGGCTCAACCGCCCTCAGCAAAGTCATTCCCACGATGATCGCCGTTACACTGGAGAGTGGCAGAAATGGCATGGACGCTGGTACGAGAAAGTCATCAGACATGGTCGAGTTGAGTGGGAAGAGGGATAAGTTGGGACACTACTTGCATTGACGATCGGTTTTTGTATAATAGCCGCCGAGTGTGTTTCCCTTGGGTTTGCAAAGAGCAGGTTCGGTGAGGCAGGTCTTAAAGACCTCGCCCTGGTAAATGAGGCATCCTCGCCGTAACCGGCTCACCTGAGGGGGGTGTAAAATCACCTCACCTAAAACACACATGTATGATAGGTGCATATTATAGCATTGCGGCTCAGGATAAAAGTGCTGGTCCGCTGGCTTAACGGTATTGATTGTTTCTCCATTGTTATAGGTTTATCAGTCTAGTTGGGATAAGTAACATCCCCTGCTGAAACCTGAAAATACAATTTTGAGCATTTTTCCCCACATCTTTGTGTGGGGTTCTTGTTTTTGGTTCTGCAACCCGTCCGCCTCCCGTCCGCCGCCGCCTTCCCGTCCGCCTCCCGTCCGCCGCCGCCTCCCACACACAACTTACTCACACACAACTTGCACACACACAACTTACTCACATACAACCTGCACACACACAACTTACTCACATACAACCTGCTCACACACACAACTTGCACACACACACACAACTTACTCACATACGGCCTGCTCACACACAACTTGCACACACACACACACAACTTGCTCACACACAACTTGCTCACACACAACTTGCACACACACAACTTACTCACACACAACTTGCTCACACACAACTTGCTCACACACAACTTGCTCACACACAACTTACTCACACACAACTTGCGCACACACAACTTGCTCACACACACCTTGCTCACACACAACTTGCACACACACACACACACACCTTGCTCACATACAACCTGCGCACACACACAACTTGTTCACACACAACTTGTTCACACACAACTTGCACACACACACACAACTTGCACACACACACAACTTGCTCACACACAACTTACTCACATACACCTTGCTCACATACAACCTGCTCACACACAACTTGCTCACACACAACTTGCAGGCGTGGCACTGGCACTTTGTGACATCTACCTTCACTTTGTGTGGCAGGCGTGGCACTTCGTGACATGGATTGTTACTTTGCGTGGCAGGCGTGGCACTTGTGGCACTGGGCTGGCTCTGGTGGCGCGCTTGGCTTTAGGCGTGGCGCAGGGGAAGCCGCGGCTGTTGGCGTGGCAGGCGTGTTCACTTTGTGTGGCAGGCGTGGCACTTCGTGACATGGATTGTTACTTTGCGTGGCAGGCGTGGCACTTATGGCACTGGGCTGGCTCTGGTGGCGCGCTTGGTTTTAGACGTGGCGCCGGGGACGCCGCGGCTGTTGGCGTGGCAGGCGTGGCACTTGATGACATCTACCTTCACTTTGTGTGGCAGGCGTGGCACTTCATGACATGGATTGTTACTTTGCGTGGCAGGCGTGGCACTGATGGCACTGGGCTGGCTCTGGTGGCGCGCTTGGTTTTAGGCGTGGCGCCGGGGACGCCGCGGCTGTTGGCGTGGCTGGCGTGGCACTTTGTGACATCTACCTTCACTTTGTGTGGCAGGCGTGGCACTTCGTGACATGGATTGTTACCCTAATCTTCCTAGAAGCTTTGTTTTAGAGCTGGCAGCTCTAATTTGGCATTCTAGGGTCCTAGAAGCTCATTTGGGAAGCTCTAATTTAGAGCTGGCAGCTTTAAATTAGAGCTGGCAGCTCTAAATTAGAGCTTCCCAAACAGTTCCAGGATTTTTGGGAAAAAAAAACACCCTAGAAGCTCTAAAATAGAGCTTCCCAAATGAGCTTCTAGAAGCCATATTTTTTTGGCATGCCTGCAGCCCATTTTTGCAAGAGAAAAATGAACATATACACACATACATATTTATTTATACGTATATTTATATAGATAGATAGAATATACACATGTATTTGGCAAAGGTTGCAAAGGAACCATATTTAATCAACATATATGGTCTCACATATATTTTGATCACAACTGCAAGCTGATTTCATCGCCATGGCAAAGCTGTTGCCTGTGAAGCCTGTGGAAAGGCTGGAAAAGGACAAAGTCAAGCAGCTGGCAGCATTGATCAAAGGCTGCATACCTGATTGCAAACTTGAATACTTCCCAGCAGATCCAGAGAAAGCTTGCAATAGGCTGCCAGCCTTTCTGTGTTTGTGGTACCCAGCCACAAGCAACAAGAAAGCAGATGAGAGGAAAGCTTTCTCAGAAGCCTGTGGAAGGCTGGAAAGCCATGAGGCAAAAGCGATTGTGAACAATCTTCATGAATACAAAGCTTGGCTGCTTAGAAAAAAAAGAAACTTAAAGACAGGTGAAAGAACAGACCCTACCCTCATGGCCTTGTTCAATGCAATCCTGCAAAAGGATAACCAGGGAATCAATAGAAGCAGCAGCACCATGAAGATGAGGGGAGAAGAAGAGCTTGAGAAAGCTAATGAAAAGCCTGTGAAAAGGCTACGAAGCAAACAGCCTCTGGATGACAAAGCAGAAGACAAAGCAGAGGTGCCAAAGCCTGCAAAGGCCATATGCTTTGCTTTTGACACCCCTGGGAGCCAAAAGTCCAAAAGCTTTGACATAGTGTCTGTTTCCAGTTCCAGTGGTGGCTTTCTGGCACCTGGAGAGCTTTCAGAAGAGCCACCTGAGCCTGCAAAGGCTGGAAAGGCAGGCGCAGAAAAGAAGCCTGCTGCTCATGTGCCTTAGAAAAGGCCAGCTGAAGCAAAGGTAGTAATAAAGAAGCCTGCAAAGGCTAGAAATAAGAAAGACTGGGTTGTGTCAAAGAGCTTTGGTTTCATCCATGAAACCAAGGCTTCCCAGAAAGCATGCATCAATGCAAAGCCAGAGATGGCTGACAAACCACATTGTCTAGTCAATGTTCAGCTGGCAGCAGGCCAGCTGCAGGACATGGTGATGAAGAAAGTGTTTGCAAAGGCACAGGAAGAACATATGACAAAGGCAAGCTTGGTTCACTACAAGAATGAGATTTTGGAAGCTGGGGACAGCTCATAAATTGCAAAGCCTGTGGGAGGCTGCCAAAGTCAAGCTGGAAAGAGCTATTGAAGATGGAGACAGCTCTGTGTGAAGCTTGGGAAATGCTGAAAATTTCTGGTAAACCACCAAGGAGCTTGCAAAAGGCTACCAAGACCTATCAGCTTTCGAGTTTTGAAAAATGTAGCAGCTTGCTGCAGCAGCATCTGTAGAAATGGGAAGGGGGTCAGCTGGCAGTGCAGAAGTATGCAACTCTGCTGCATGTGCAACTCTGCTGCATGGGCTCAAAACAGAACTTGTAGAAGATGAGGACATGGGGGGTGGGAAGGAGGAGCCTGCCGAGGCTGGTAAAAAAAAAGAAAAAGAAAAAGAGAAGAAAACGCAAAAAAAAAGCAAGGGAAAGATGAGTCTGAGGATCCTGGGGATGGCCCTGCTGGCCCACCAGGAGGCCCAGGAGGAGCCAGTGATGGCTCAAGAGGCTCTGGCCTGGGGCCTCCCTTGGTGGCTGCAACTTGAAAAAGCTAAGGCAGCCAAAAAAAAAGCCTGCGGCTAGGAGTGAAAGCTTGAGAAAGGCTTAGGAGGTAGCCTGGGAAGGCTGAAAGCTCCTGGCACAGAGGGAGTTTTTGAAAAACAGGACTGCTGCAAAGGGGAAGGGGATGGGCTGGTTGAGGACCACAAAAAAAATAGTGGCAGTAAGTAAGGGATAGGGAGTACCCACAAAAGCCGTTTGGATGAAGGTTTCCTTTTTGGTTGCTGGGTTTTGCAGAAGCCTGCAAAGGCTTAAAAAAATATAAATCCATATGTTTCAATTGTGGTTTTCAGACAAAAAAGTCTGAATTTCAGACTTTCAGACTTTCAGACTTTTTACTTTATATTTAAGTTATTAATTAAAACTATGAAAATCTAAAAGTCTGAAAGTCTGAAAGTCTGAAATTCAGACTTTTGGGACTTTTTTTCCCAGAAAATGAAGCTGATCACCAAAAATTCTGCGGCCCTTTGGCACAAACTAGGAAGGGTTTTAGGGATCTAGTCAGGCATGAAGCGGCTCCAAAAAAAAAGCAAGAGAACAGGAGCCTGCAAAGGCTGAGTTGGGAACTGAGCCTGGAGAGGCTGAGCCTGGAGAGGCTGACAGCCAGCAAGTGGCTGATCAGGAGCCTGCAAAGGCTGCACCTGCAAGTGGCTCCAAGCCTGAAAAGGCTTTGCCAGCAATGGCCACAGAGAAAGCCAAAGCTAAGGCAAAGGCCTTGCCAGCTCCTAGCAAAGCACAATGGAATGATGTGCATTACACAATGAAGAAGCTTGAGAAAGCTGGCAAGATGGATTTGCCTGAGAAATGGAAGAAAGCTTGCTTGGGAGGTCACCAATGCAAGCGTGAGTTTTACTACCACACATTTCTCCTGTCCTAGACCCAGAGGCCAGCAAAAAAGAAGTTCATAAGATTAGCCTGGAAAGGCTTTCGGTGGAATCAACCAAGTTGAGAGGTTGGTTCACCAAATGGCAGCTTGGGGAAATGCAAGGTGCAGTCGCCACCCACCCCATGTTTGAACAGCTCTGCACAAAGGCTTACTTGAAAGAGATCATGAGAATGAAGCCTGGGCAAGGCTGGGTGTGAAACAATACTATTTCGAACATTTTGAAGCTGAGAAGGAGAGGCATGTGAATGAAAGTACCACTGCGGCCAAGCAAACAGTGGAAGTCTCTGACAGGCAAGATTTCCAAAAGGCAGAGAAGGCCCTCATGGCTGAGCCAGAAAATGGCCAAGTGGTTTTTGGAAAGAAAAGCCACAAGGCTGAGGCAGCCGCCAGTGCAGGGGAAGAAAAGCCTGAGGAGGCTTACAAAAAAGCATACCAAAGCCTGAATAAGGCTGTGAAGGCTTTCTCAAGTGCAGTTGACAAGCTGCAGTTGCTGAAGACAAGCTTGGCAAAAAAGCAGAAGGAGCAGCCCAATGCACAATTGGCTGCCAGTGTAGGTGAAATGGAAAGCTTGCAAAATCAACATGAAGACTTGAAAAGTCAGTGGGTCACCAGGCTGGCTGCAGTTGCCAGCTCATTCCCTGCTGATGCAGCCAGTGATGGCTCAGAAACTGAGAAGCTTCAGCAATGGAAGCAAGAAATTGAGGAGCAAAACCAAAAGCCTGGGTAAGGCTTTGAACCCACACAGATTGTGGGCCAAGAATGCAGGTTTCATTTAAACCATGTGGCCTGCACAAGTTTTGGGGAGGGATTGAAGCCTGGAAAGGCTGCTAAAAGTTTTGCACATAGTAGAAGCTTGGAAAAGGCTCGACCGAACCTGCAAAGACCGGTACATAGCAACTTGTGCCCCTGCTGGAAAAAAGAAAGCTGCTGCTGCTTTTGCTAGGTAACTGTGTGCACATGTTCAGCAGGTCAAACAAAGGTTTGCTGGCACTGCCAGGTGAGCTCCAAATTGCTTTTTTCCTCGCAGCCATTTTAACTTCAAGCATGAAGCTCTGGTTTGTTCTAAAAGTTTTTTCTGCATGTTTTTTTCTCTAAATGGCTATAAATTTGTTAGCCAATACCTGGCTCTAGAAGAGCATGCTGTAACTTGGGACCTGCAAAGGCTTGCACCCTAAAGATGTATGGAACTATCGAGATGAAACATTTGGGTATACAATGCAGCAGCTATGGTTCAGAAGAGGTGGCAAAACCAAGAGCCCCAAAGTCGAAAGTGAATCAGTTTTGCTAAGGTTGGCAAACAGCACAGAGACCTGGAGCTTGCAAAAGGCTATGGAAGCAAAGCTTGAAAAAGCTAACAGGGAAGCCTGAGAGAGGCTTAATGTATGAGAGCCAATGAGCTCCAAGACTTTCGTGAATGCCAGAAAAAGAAGCTGCTGCTGTGTGCAACATGGTGAACATATGTAATACATGATCAATGTTAAAATCTGAAGAAAACATTGCCTGGAGAAGCTCTAAATTAGAGCTTCTAGAAGCTCTAATCTAGAGCTTCTAGAGAAGATTTATCATTGCTCTAGAAGCTCTAAATTAGAGCTTCTAGTGATTTTTGCTAGAAGCTCGAATTTAGCGCTGCCAGCGCTAAATTTGAGCTTCTCATTTTTGAGCTTCTAGAAAAGAGCTTCTAGGAAGATTAGGGTACTTTGCGTGGCAGGCAAGGCACTTATGGCACTGGGCTGGCTCTGGTGGCGCGCTTGGTTTTAGGCGTGGCGCCGGGGACGCCGCGGCTGTTGGCGTGGCAGGCGTGGCGCTTTGTGACATCTACGTTCCCTTTGTGTGGCAGGCGTGGCACTTCGTGACATGGATTGTTACTTTGCGTGGCAGGTGTGGCAGGCGTGGCACTTATGGCACTGGGCTGGCTCTGGTGGCGCGCTTGGTTTTAGGCGTGGCGCCCGCGGCTGTTGGCGTGGCAGGCGTGGCACTTTGTGACATCCACCTTCACTTTGTGTGGCAGGCGTGGCACTTCATGACATGGATCGTCACCTTGCGTCGCAGGCGTGGCACTTATGGCACTTGGCTGGCTCTGGTGGCGCGCTTGGTTTTAGGCGTGGCGCCGGGGACGCCGCGGCTGTTGGCGTGGCAGGCGTGGCACTTTGTGACATCTACCTGCACTTTGTGTGGCAGGCGTGGCACTTCGTGACATGGATTGTTACTTTGCGTGGCAGGCGTGGCACTTATGGCACTGGGCTGGCTCTGGTGGCGCGCTTGGTTTTAGGCGTGGCTCTCAACTTTTGGCATGCTGATTGTAGATTTCCTCCTCTCGATTTGATTGCTCTGACCCCTTCACCTTCCCAAGCAAGAGTGCTTTCCAATTTGAGGGATCTTTTCAAGGCTTTTGGTAGCTCGTCGGCTGAGTTTTCAGTCGAGTGGCCGAAGATCTACGTCGCTTGTGTCGCAGTTGGCAGACCTGTGCGACTTTGTGACATGGGATGGACTTGCTGGAGCTTCATATGAACGTGGTTTCAAGGGAACAGTTGGAGGCCTGGAGGCCTTGACAAAGGTGCCTGTTGCCAATGACAAGGCACCCGAGCTGACACCTTATAAGAGCTTGCAACCTGACCGTTTGAAAATCACCGGGGACGCCGCGGCTGTTGGCGTGGCAGCCGTGGCACTTGGAGACATCCACCTTCGTTTCACGTGGCAGGCGTGGCACTTTGTGACATCTACCTTCACTTTGTGTGGCAGGCGTGGCACTTCGTGACATGGATTGTTACTTTGCGTGGCAGGCGTGGCACTTATGGCACTGGGCTGGCTCTGGTGGCGCGCTTGGTTTTAGGCGTGGCGCCGGGGACGCCGCGGCTGTTGGCGTGGCAGGCGTGGCACTTCGTGACATCTACCTTCACTTTGTGTGGCAGGCGTGGCACTTATGGCACTGGGCTGGCTCTGGTGGCGCGTTTGGTTTTAGGCGTGGCGCCGGGGACGCCGCGGCTGTTGGCGTGGCAGCCGTGGCACTTGGAGACATCCACCTTCGTTTCACGTGGCAGGCGTGGCACTTCGTGACATCTACCTTGTCATCACACCACTTGTCTTCACACTACTTGTCCACACGCAACTTGTCTTCACACTACTTGTCCACACACAACTTGTCCACTTGTCATCACACCACTTGTGTCTTCACACTACTTATACACACACAACTTACTCACACGCAACTTGTCATCAGACCACTTCTCATCACACCACTTGTCATCACACCACTTGTCTTCACGCTACTTGTCTTCACACTACTTGTCCACCGGGCACCAGCACACAGGCAGAGTCAAGCTGCATCGGTTAGTGCTGTGTGCGCAGCTGCATCGAGTGTTGCCGTCGTGACAGTGTCAGCTTTGTGGCATGTTAGCTGTGGGACTGAAGTGTCACATGTCATGAACTCCGACAGCAGTGAAAGGATAAGAGTTAGAATAGGATTACAGCATCAAGAGACAAAACATGCGACAAGTTGCACTTTTTATTGCTAGCAGTGTTGCATGTTGATTCTGTCGCGTTGCACAGTGAGCTGTCTGTTGGTCACTAGCTGGCTGCTTTGTCTGTGACTTTTCGATTTTGGGGCTCTATGTTAGCTGTGGGACTGAAGTGTCACATGTTATGAACTCAGACAGCAATGAAACCATAGCCAGCACACATCACAGCACACTTAGATGAGACAATATACAAGAACGACAGCAGAGTCAGCCCCAAACAAGCGATGCCAACGTAGCATTCTGCGCCGGCTGCTTTGACACGCAGGCTTGTTTCTTGCGTACTTTCTTTGTTCCGTTTTCATGGATGACATTGCCTGCGTTTCTCGCAGCCAAGCATCGTAGCATTCTGCGCCGGCTGCTTTGACACGCAGGCTTGTATACTATGTTTCTTGCGTAGCTCTGTGGTGCAGTATAAATGCTTTCTTTGTTCCGTTTTCATGGATGACACTGCCTGCGTTTCTCGCAGCCACGCATCGCTGGCAGGTACTTTTGCATCGTCTTCGTCGTGCCGCACATCCTTCGGAGGTGGTACCTAAGTGGTAGCCAAATGTTTTGCAACACTTTCATTGTAGTTGATGTCGATTTGCTTTCGTCTTTCGTCTTTGTAGTTGTTTCTCTTTGTTTCGCATAGACGTGTCGGTAACTTCGTCGCAACTTTGTGATTCTTGCCACGAGGTGCTTGCTCAGCCGCCACGACAGCGCCTGAGATTGTCAGGTGGATTGCTAGCAGTGTTGCATGTTGATTCTGTCGCGTTGCACAGTGAGCTGTCTGTTGGTCACTAGATGGCTGCGTTGTCTGTGACTTTTCGATTTTGCGGCTCTATGTTATTTTGGTTGGCTGATATTTTTGAAATGACCAGCAATTTGTGGGCCCAGTCATATCCCAGTATTGGCCCATACCTTCTGCAATGATATACTGCCACAGGGCACGGCAGATCTCACAGAGTGCATGGAGCCTCAGAAAATCTGGGAAGCTGGATGACCTTTGATACATGGGATTCGTTCAAAAGGTCTCTGTAAAAAAGTACTAAACTACCAGTAGTACCGCACAAGGCGGCGGCGGAAGTTTCAAAAATAGGAAACCTATAGGAGAGGTTGGCTGTTGTGAATCAGGGATGGCAGAGCCAATCCACTGATGGACCGAAAGGTGCTTGAGGTCTCCTCTCTTTCTCTCTCTTTCTCTGTCTATCTACTTACCTACCAGCCTATCTTCTATGTATCTATCTATCTATCTATCTACCTATCTATCTATCTATCTACCTATCTATCTATCTATCTATCTATCTATCGATCTATCTATCGATCGATCTATCTATCTATCTATTTATCTTTCTTTCTATCTATCTATCTATCTATTTATCTATCTATCTATCTATCTAACCAACTATCTATCTATCGATCTATCTATCTATCTATCTATCTTTCTATCTATCTATCGATCTATCGATCTATCGATCTATCGATCTATCGATCTATCGATCTATCGATCTATCGATCTATCGATCTATCGATCTATCTATCGATCTATTGATCTATCGATCTATCGATCTATCGATCTATCTATCGATCTATCTATCGATCTATCTATCTATCTATCTATCTACCTATCTATCTATCTATCTATCTATCTATCTATCTATCTATCTATCTATCTATCTATCTATCTATCTATCTATCTAATCTATCTATCCTATCTATCTATCTATCCTATCTAATCTATCTACCTGTCTATCTGTGGTGCAGTGTCATTCAGTGTAATGTAGTGTAGTGTAATGTAGTGTAATGTAGTGGAGTGTAGTGGAGTGTAGTGTAGTGTAATGTAGTGTAGTGTAGTGTAATTTCGTGTAGTGGAGTGTAGTGGAGTGTAGTTGTGTAGTCGTAGTTGTAGTGTTGTGTAATGTAATGTAGTGTAGTGGAGTGTAGTGTAGTGGAGTGTAGTGTAGTGTAATGTAGTGTAGTGTAGTGAAGCGAAGCAACATCTGAACCTCGAAAAGTGGCGCGAACATGTGGTGTTTTGTACATTTTGACTTGGAAATGTGCTTCGCGCCACAACGGCGTGCACTTTTTCGACATCTCAACTTCCAAAAGTGGTCCGACGCTGGTGTGCTTTTTACATTTTGACTTCAAAATGTGCTTCGCGCCACAACGGCGCGCACTTTTTCGACATCTCAACTTCCAAAAGTCGTCCGACACTGAGGTGTTTTGCACATTTTGACTTTGAAATGTGCTTCGCGCCACAACGGCGTGCACTTTTTCGACAT